TTCGACGTGTCTTGGTGGCCCGACAGCCCCTTCATTCTCAAGTTCGCGGCGGGCGGCGCGAGCGGCGGCCTCGGCTCCGTCGTCGGCAATCCCTTCGACATCCTCAAGACCAAGATGATGGCCAGCGAGACGGGCCTCGGGCTCGCCGAGACCGCCGGGTCCATCTTCGCGAACCAGGGCGTCCTCGGCTTCTACCGGGGCATCGACGCCAACATCGCCCGCGCCGTCGTCAACAACGGCACGAAGATGGCATGCTACGACCAGTCCAAGGGGCTCCTACAGGAGCACGTCGGCCTCAGCGGCATCGGCCTCCAGGCGGCGGCCTCGTTCGTCGCGGGCTTCTTCATGACTTGTACCGTCGCGCCCTTCGACATCTGCCGCACGCGCCTCATGAATCAGCGCCGCCACCGCGTCGCGAGGTGGGGGGGGGTATCGCGGCAAAAATCCATTGGGGTGCTGTTCCCGGGGTACTGCAGTGAATCATCGCGTGCCGACCGTTGTGAACGTCTCGGCCGCCGGGCGCCCCGAGAAACCATGTTTTTCGTCGAAATCTCGCGAATCACTGATTGGGGACCACTGCGAGCGCCACCGGGATCCCGGCCGCCCTGGGGGGGGATATCGCGGCAAAACAATTCGGTGGCTGTTACCTCGACGGACTACAGCAAATCATCGGCCTCGGACCTGGACCGACGACCATTCCCCGAAAAATCGTCAATTTCGTCGAAAATTGCCGATGCGACGCTCGTTTCGCGCTTCCAACGCGTGGACTTTTGGATATCGCGGCGCCCCGCAGGCCGGCGGACGGGGCCAAGGTCTACAACAACATCGCGGACACCTTCGTGAAGATCGCCACTAAGGAGGGCCCCCTGACGTTGTGGGCCGGCTTCATCCCCATGTGGGCCCGCATCGCGCCCACGACAACCTTCCAACTTCTGTTCTTCGAGTATTTCTCCAAGCTCGCCGGCATCTCGGCGACGTGACCGTAGTCCCCCCAAAAAAACGCCCGCTCGGCGTAGCCGGTGTCACCATACCTAAGAAGATCCGGTGTGTATAGAGAATTCAGGCAATCATGATTTGCGGTCAAGGGAATTTATGGTGTAATTCCAGACGGAGGCGGTGCATTACTTGTGCCCCCCTCTCTCTCAAGAGGGGGAATCGCAGGGCCTAGGTTCCAGTAGGCGTTCTGCATGTCCTCCTGCTCGTGCGCACTAGAATTGTCCGGTTTCTAGTCGGTCAACCCTGTGGCACGCGGCGTATGCGCTTCGGCTGCACGTCGATGGAGACAGTCGAACCCGGTCATAGTCGACCGAGTGGACATCTTGTTAGAACCGCGGGCTGGGTACGGCGGTTCGAGACGCCTCGTGCGGCTCACATATGTTCGTGTGGTCGGTTTCTGAAAAAAAGAAAAAGGCGGGGGGGGGTGGGGCGGTGGGGGGCGTGGGTGGAGTTGGCGCTGCTCGCTTCGGGGATGTTGGGTTACGAGACGCTGGGCGGGGTGGTGGTTCGCGCGGCCGTACTACGCGAGCATCTGCGCGGCGGCAGCTTCCACGTCGGCGGCGCGGCGAAGAACCAGCTGTCGCAGAACGCGAAGGAGGCGGTGCATTCACAATAGAAAATGAACTTTGTGTGTATAAGCAGAAGGGAGGACACTGGGCTGATTCCCAAATGGCTGTAATGTGCGCGGGGAGA